GCTGGCTGAGGAATTCTGGGAGTTGAAGTCCACAAGTCTTAAAGTTGCCAAGGTTGGACACCCCTGGTTTAGAATGTTGAATGGAGGCAGTGGGGTTCAAGGGTGGGTGTGTTCACATTTGGCTGTAAGTATCTTGACCCATCTCTTCTAACATACTTCATTAGAATATTGAGATAACAATATGGAAAAGCTGTATATCTTATCTTAAGGTCTTTGGCAAATATATAATTTGGATCACAACATATTTTGTCATTACCAGCAGGTGCATTAACCAAAACATTTTCCCTTACTCATTTGACCCATTTTTTATGTTTCATCTTCTACCTTCGCAGAGATTGAAAAACTGAAGACGTTTGCATATCTTCAAAGACAAAATCTACAAAGAGTTCCCATCTAGGACGGAGGCAAAGGTCAAGGAAAGCAACTTTAATATTCTATCAGACCTGTTTCCAGTCTGCAAAAGTTGCCATGGAGCAGATCAGTAATTTTTTCCATTCCATCTGGTCTTTTATCTGCTTAAAACATCAGGAGGGTATCTATAACACAATCTGTCTCGCTGTTTTAATGGGGTTACCTGTTCTTGTCCTCCTTGTTGGAATTTTCATCTGTTGCCATTGTTGTTTTTGTGGCCAGCGGCAAAGGGACAAAAATAGCCACAGCAGCAGTGGTCCAATCCAAGGGCAAAGAAGACGTAATATTTTGAGGAAGAAGAAGAAGAAAGAAGATGATCTGTGGATTTCAGCCCAGCCCAAAATGCTTCTGCTGGCAAAAAGGCCATCGTTGGTTTAGACTTTAGAGGAATGCAGGAGGACAAGTTACTTCCTTTTCGTATAAGGAATATTCCTATTCCTATCTCATAATGTGTTCACTTCCACGTCATAAAGCTGAGAACATGCCATCCTGCCTTACTTCCACATGAAGGAAGCTACTTTTTAAGCTTAGGAATTTTCAAGTTGGACACACAGTTTACAAGCAAGCTGCAACATTACACCAATGCAGAATGAATGAGTGGTGTGCATCCACTGAATGCATATTATTTCAGTGTACACCAAAGGTATAGGCTTACATGAACTCAGTAGCAAATTGTATTCTACAAATCAACTTGTGCACTTAGGATGCAGAATTCAAACTAGAACTTTTGCTTTGCCTAGCATAGCTTGCACTGAAAGCTTATCTGCACTAGCATGTAAGAAAGTAAGCAAACACTGTTGTATGCATGTAGATATATATCATATATTACCATACACATTTACTTATACAATCTGATTGCACTGATATGTAAGCCAAGGTATTGAATTGGGTGATTTAAAAAAAAATATCATGAAAGAGAAGACTTTGACTAGTGATTGTTTGCTAGTTTTGGAAGAAAACTGCTGAGTTAGTTGGGCCTTTGGTCTGAATGTTTGGGAACACAAGAAATTGCCTTATTAACAAATGTCTCATATTCTTCTCATGTCTGAACTAGTCAGAATTTTACAAGTTTTGCACATTGCTTGGCATACCGATAGTCTCTATTTTAATTCTTTAAAGGGTTAGGTTTTTAGGACTTCCAGCTATGCTGACAGCTTTGGATGTACCAAATGGGGGAATGGGGTAGGTTGAAGATTAGAAAGATGAGGCATTAGTACTCCACAAGAAGTAGAAAAATAAATAATATATCAATCAACATGGTGAAAAATTTGGTGTGGGAGGAAACCCTCCAGTCCTGGAACAACATATTATGATCGGTTAATAATAAATCTCTTGGTAAAGGCATTTGCAAATATATTTTTGCATTTTCATGAAAAATCTATTACTCTGTGCTTAGATTAAGCAATGGGGTAATATAACAACTTGTTACCAATATGCATTCTGTTCTTTATTTTTAGACTTGCATTCTAGGGTTACTCTAGAGATAATTAAAAGAAACCACAACCTTTTTATTTAAAAATAAATTTATTTTAATAAATTGTGCTTCGTTACATTTTGTGTTCCGATTTCTCCTATTTACTAATTAAAGAAGAAAATGATTTTTGTGTTATTTTTCTGACCATGGGGGAGCAATTGACTCAAAAATAAAAACAGTCAAATGTGGATTGTTGCCTTAAATAAGGCGACCACATTTTTTTAAAAAAAATATTCTCACAAGAGTTGTGTGCATAACATGCCAAGAACTGCCAGATGCTTTCCTTTCCAGATTTCATGCTCTAGTTCATCTCTCTCTCTCTCTCTCTCTCTCTCTCTCTCTCTCTCACACACACACACACACACACACACACACACACACAGGTTCTGCTCCCATAACCTACATAGGGTTATTGTGTTGTAGAAGTTCAAAAGGGGAACTGTTGGCCCAGTCAGTAACTTCTGCAAACACACTTAATCATCCAGGAGCTTACACAAATTCCACCCAGTCATGGTACCTAAACCAGTGGTCACCAACCAGTGGGCCGGGGATCACTGGTGGTCCGCAGAGAAATGTCACCCCCAAAGCACCCCCCAAAGTAATTAATCCAGGCTTAACACAAGGCTGTGCCGCCCACATGGCCTGTGTGAACACAAGATTTGTGTCGCATTGCGAACAACACATAGTGAGGGGAGGGGGGAAAGGGGGAGAACTTGCCCCACATGCCTCGCCTGGCCACCGGGCTGCTTCTTTCTGCTTCTTCCTTCTGCTTTTGGCTGCACTCAAGAAAAGCAGCACAAGTCTTTCTTTCTCTCCCCCAAACTCCAAAGATAAGTCTTTGGGACTCTGCAAGGCATCCTGCTCCAAGAGGCTGCGCCAGTGCGACAAGTCTCACAAAGACTCATTTCTGGCGGAGTTTGGGGGAGAGAAAGACTTCTGCTGCTTTCCTTGCATGAAGCCAAAAGTCTCTCTCTCCCTGAGAACGGAGCTTGCGATGGTATCCTGCGATCCCAAACAAAGAATGATCGAGGTAGGAAAATGGGGTGGGAAATTTTCCTGCAGACTTTTTTTGGGATTTTCCCAGGGTCTGTGATCTGTGGGATTTAAAATGATGAGTTTGGTGGTCCCTGAGGTCCAAAAGGTTGGCAATCCCTGACCTAAACCAAGTCATCAGACCCATTTTTTATATTTCGTCCTCCAAGAAATCTTATAAAGTGGCTGAAAAAGCAAGCCTCTCGATTACAGAATTCATTGCTGAAGACAGCAGCAGAGAATACACCTCCTATACCCTGACTGGATCCCTAGCAAGCTTATTGCTCTGTACCTGGACAATGGGAAGACTCTAGCAAGTTCATGAAGTTTGCCAACAGTCTGGTGCATTCAATAATATCTGAAAAAATTGAGTATATTATATATACAGATAGAGTATCTGTATTCCCCAAGTAGAATTCTTGTCAGAAGTGTGTACTGTGAAAACCATTGCTAAAGGAATTGGATGTGTAGTTGCCTGGGTTAAGCATCTTGTGAGAATGGCCTTGCAATGAATAGAGTATGTTAATATGCTATGACTTTTTACCATTATATTGTCCTGAAGAACAGCATGCTAAGTCAACTGGCCAAATAATTGATTTTGATATCGTACTTATAACTAACATAAATACCTTTTTATATAAAATGGAACTTCAAAAATATCAACAGATAAACGAAGATTATATGTGCTTCAATATTTCTTATATTTTTTCCAATGTTAAGAGTGGAAAGAACTCAGAATGACAATTATATGTTCTGTTCTAAAAACTTAGAAATTTCCCTTGTTTGATTCAGTAGGTTTTCCCTATTTGGGCTGCAGAAATCTAGTCCAAAATTAAATGGCAGCAAAGAGATACAGAAGACTTGGCTGTCAATGGATTTTACATATAGTGGTACAAGCCCAGGTCTGGTAACCTTATATTTGCTTTAAGTGCCACATGTGAGTTTTCCACCTTCACTTATTATGCTACCTCCTCTTTTTCTCTGAAACTAATGTACTCATGCAACATTATTTCTCGTGAAGTAATGCCAACACAGTATTGCCACTATAATCTGTGCCACTAATTTAATGTTACACTACTTGTGCCTCATATGCCCCCTTTCTATCATAGATCTCTATTCAAGCTTTAATCTGGAGATGTTGTGTAGATAAGCAATGGCCATCTCCTTTGGAATTTATTCCTTATTGACTATGAATTTTAGTCTTCTATATAAGAAATTTAAGACATGCAAGGAGATTATGATTTAAACTGATCGGATGATGCATGTCCAATTGTCGTGCATCACAGAGGAAGCCTAGGGTGTAACTGACAATCCCACAGTACTAGATCTATTACTACTGTAAAAAATGTAAACCTCATGAATTTAATGATAAATCTAAATAAAAAACAATAGGGTTGCAATAAGGTAGTCCTTGAGATATGATCATAGGGGAGCCTGCCCACTATGGTTGCATGTTGTAATGGTTGTTAGGTGAAGCATCTCACCTAATAACCCCCTCCCAATCCCTGCTCTCCCCAGTGAGTCATTAAATGAACCCCAGGGTCTTTAGGTGGAAAATGGGGTACCTCATGGGTTGGGTAGGCCCTTGGAGGCCTAGCACAGGCTAGGGCCACCTGCCCTGGCCTCCCAAAGTTCCTCCACACTCCGAAACACTCTGTGCTCCACCTCCTGCCCCTTGGGTCCCACTCCCTTTGGGTCTCTCCCCCCCCCCCACACACACACCAGGCTTTAGGCCTGATTCCTTCCCCACTAGGCCAAACACCCTCCTCACTTTTTGAAAAGCACCAAATCCATCCAGAGCACTGAAATGCATTACTTCTTTGTGCAGCTTCATACCATGGTTCCAGAAGCAGCCACTATTTTCTCCTATCCACAAAATTGGATCACTACTGTATGGCCTAGATTCAGAGACAAACTGCTTTGTTCTGCTGCCTTAACCAAATCTACTCTCAATGCTGCAGAAACCTTCTGCAATGTCCAGAAACTTCTGCAACACTGTGCAGACCCTGGTAAGGTAGCAAAACACAACAGTTTGTCTGGCAGCCATCATTTTTGCCCTGTCCACAAATGGTTGCCACATACGGTTTTTGCACAAAGAAGCAGAATTAAATGGTAGAGTATTACTCTGCCTTCGCATCTGTGATAGTTCTTGCTGGATTGAAAATCATGTTTTTCACCACTTTGTCACACATATGCCATCCAGTTGGTTCTAATGTGGCAAAAGCAGCCAGCAAAATTGAAAGAGCACTGGGTCTTATAACACACAATAGTGGCAATATAGTTTTACCAATAAAGTAAAATATAACAATATCTATGGTCAACACTGAATCTCTTGGTGCTAATGGTATATGAAATCCAAATACCTGAAGAACATCTAATTTAAGAGTAGTTGTTTAATTAATTAATTTTAAAATATATTGGCTGCCCATCTTACCTTGAGGTAACTCTGAATCAATAATATTTTTGTAGTTATAATAAAAATACATCTGAGTGTGTGTGTGTGTGTGTGTGTGTGTGTGTGTTAGAGAAGAGAGAGAGAGAGAGATTTCAAGAGGGCAGTTTTTTGTATGGGGGAAATAATATTTCATGACGTGTTTTACTTGCAATAAGGTTCAGAATTAAACCTACATTTTGTAATGGTAGAAAGGCAGATTCACCAATGAAAGGTCAAAAACTGATCTTCCAAACAATACTTGCATGATTTTATTCCTGTTAGAAATGGAAACAACTCAGGTGGATTTTTTTTCTTCCTGAAAGGAATACTGGGGTTCCTCACTTTAGATTTTGCAAAACTGAATCACCCAAGGAGGCAGACAAGCTGACTTAATGCCTGAGCCTACCTGGTCTTGTGAAGGCAACTGAGTAGCATAAGTCACTTTGCTATCATATACAGAGGGATAATGAAAACCAGAACAGGGTTCTCAACCTTAGCAGTTCCAAGCAGCCATTATGATCACAGGGAGCTTAACCAGCACCAGCACCTCCTCCACCACTTGAGAATGTATCTGAGAATCGGGGGCTTTTTTCTATAAGTAATGCAGACACATTAATGCAAGTGATACAGATGTAATGCATATTTTGTGGTGTTCCCAACAAATCAAACCAGAAAATATTTCTAAGGAAGGCTTGAAATAACTGATATGATTATATTTATATCAAAATGTGCATAAAAGGCCTGATACACTGTTACATGATCATGCATTGCTGTGTGTTGGCAAACACAGCATTTCCAGAAGACTTTTAAACTTTAGTCTCCTTCCCCTTCACAGCCAGAGATGATCTCCGTTTTCTACTCAGGACTGCCTCAAAGCTATATGAACGTGGACGTATCTTCATTTCAGTGTAAGGGATAGAATATAAATGGCCTTTCCATGGCTCCCAATTAATTCCCTGAAAAGAAAAAATAGGATATTAGCTATTTTATATAGATCAAGTTTTTCAATCTATAAACAAATGTGCAAAACTGTATAGTAATAATACAAATCAGAAAACTAATAATACAAATATATCAATATTCAACTATTAGGACTTTGTAGGTTTTGCATATGTATTTTGTGTATAAAAATCTTTTAAGACAGACTGATAAATTGTCTCATTTGATCCACTAATAACTATAATTACACGGCACTTCACATAAATTACTTTGTGATGAGGGATGTGCAGCCTTTCCACTATATCAGTATCTCTTAATGAAGCAGCATCTTTGCTTGGGCTCACAGTCATACAATCCCAGGAAAGTGCATATTTGAGATAGGTGGATAAAAATGGCAAATCCAGTCTAAACATCTGGTTTACTGTTCAATGAACCCTAATAATAACACTCAATGCATATGAAAGCCACCACCAGCTAAAGAACCAGCAGCTGTGATTTCATTTTTGGGTACATAATAATAGGATCTTCACAGTCTGAGCATCTTAACCTTCAGTATCTTCTAACAAGTGGCATGTAGGGATCAAAGTGAAAAAAATTGACTGTCGACTACAATATATCTTGTATGATATTACAGGCACCTTTTTGACTTTGAGGGATA